GGGCTTCGCTGTCCCTGCGCGGCCCAGGGCGGCCGCCTCCCGAGCCGTGGCGCCCGGGCCCCTGCGCAGGAAAGGGGCGGGGGCCTGGCTGTCGGCTCTGCGGCTCCGCGGCTCCTGCCCCCGCGGGGCTGCCTGACTGCGGCTCTGCTCCCCCACGCATGGTGGGCACAGGCGCTGTCCCTGTCCTTGTCCCTGTGCAGGCGACTGTGGCTGGGAGGCTGCCAGTGGGTGCCTCTGCCCTGCGGATGCCCATCAGCCCCTGGCTCCTCAGTAGCCCCATCCACCTGTGTCTGGTTTCAGTGAGGAGCAGTTCTGGTTTTGAGCACATCCAGGCATTTGGCACCTCCGCCAGGCCTCCTGGGTTCCCTTCTCTGTCATCCCCTCCAGGCTTTCTGTTCCTGCACAGTTTGTAGTCTGGGGTAAAATGCACATCACCTTCCAGTTTCTTCTCTGGCATGTCGCCTTGTCTCCTCAGGTCTGACCCAGCGCAGCAAGCAGGCCCAGAAGGGGGAGCGCCAGGCGGGGGTCCCCCCGGCCCTCCACCCAACACGAGTAGTAACTGGCAGCTGCAGCTGACACAGGCCCAGTTGGGGGAGGTAAGTCACCATCTATTAGCCTGCCCTTCTTTCTCTGAGCTGTTATGTAGCAGTGTCTGGAGACACTCCAAGGGTCATTCCCTTCCTCTTGCAGGTGGTAGACATCATGCGTGTGAATGTGGACAGAGTACTGGAGCGAGACAAGATGGTGTCAGAGCTGGATGACCGGGCAGATGCTGTCAAGACTAGTGCCTCAGTGTTTGAACGCAGTGCTGGAAAGCTCGAGAGGAAGTACTTTTGGAAGAACATGAAGGTGAGCCTGGCTGCCCAGCCCCCTCCTTACACAAAAGCTAAACAGTTGCCTGTCTCTGGCCTTGTATAGCTGTATGCCAAGCTAGTGGAATGTCTTGCCCACTTATCTGCCCTGAGCCATGTCTAGAGAACAGGCTGCAGTAGCACCACAAGGAGGATTAGCTGAGTTGTTTCATTCTCATAGGAGTGCATGGATTGCATCCTTTCAGTGGTTCTCTGCCTTTTCCTTGCTTTTTTGGCCTCTGTGGCACTGGCTTCTGATTGGGACTGCCTATCGCTCTGATTTGGAGGTGCCTGGTGCAGCCAGCATTCACTGTGTATTTAATTGAGATGATAGGCTTGTGTCACTGTCTCGGGCCATGCTATTTAGAAGACTGGAGGTCTGAGCTGTTATGTTTTGAAAGGCACAAATGGGTGCTCCAGTTGGTAGGGGACACTACCTCATGCCAACCTTATTGAGTCTTATTGTTTCAAAATCTCTCCCCAGATGATGATTATATTGGGAGTCACTTGTGCTGTTGTGGTGGTGACTATTGCACGTAAGTACTGTGGGGGACCAGAATATAAGGTTGGGGAGCTCCTGACTGTAGTAAAATGGCATCTTTTGGTTAGGGGCTGGAGCCAGGGGTGGCTAATATATTTTTGCTGAGGACTGCTTAATCAGTTTTGGTGAGGTGTCAGGGGCCTGGAGGGTAACTCTGTTCCTTGAAAGGTGTTCTATACCCTGCTTGCCATACTGGGACTAGAAGTTCTGCCCCTAATCCCTGACCTTTGCCACTGGAAGTCTCTCCCCTTGCCCTCAGAAATATTCCGTTTTGAGAGAGGGGGGAGGGTTTGTCATCTTGGACCCGGAAAACCCCCCCAACAAATCATATACTAAAAATCAAACATCTAGTATAATATTATTAATTTAAAAAAAAAAAAGTCCTGAGTCATGTATTTGTAGTGTATATAGAGGTGATCACATAATAGCTCAAAATAAAGTTTTACTCCTGTATAATGTGTGTGGGGTGTGGTTGAGGGGGCAGGGGGGTGTGATGGGTATGCACATGGGAGGCCCCCTCCACAGTGCACAGCTCCTGCTGCTGCTGTTGGTGGCAGCAGCAGCACGCCCTTGGGGTGCTTATGACCCGCACAAGTAGAAGGCCCTGGGTGGTGCATGTCTCCCAGCCAGTTCTGGGAGCTGCCTGTACCTGTAGGGAGCAGGGAAGGCTGTTGGCCCAGTCATGGTGGGACTTCCCCATGGAACAAGTCCCGGGAACAGCACGAGAGCAGCAGGGAGACCTGCACGATGCAACTGGACTGACCTGGGCGCTGTGCTCCCAGCACCCTGGCCTCTGGCCCCTGCCCAGCTGCAGCTTCCTTCCACCAACCCCTGCTTCTCTACCTGTTGCCCCAGTGCTGTAGAAGGGGCAGGAGGAGGAGCCACTGGAGGATGAGGGATGCTAAGCAGTTCCCTGGGCAGCTGTAGCAGCAGCCCTGCCTGGAAACAGTGTGCTGGATGGGGCTGGGGCCCTCCTGGGCTGGAGGATGGGAGAGGAGCCCACCACTCTGGTGGAAATGGGTAGGGTTCAGCCCCATGTGAAGCACAGCAGGGGCAGCCATGGGTTTGGCTGGGTAGAATTATTTGATAGGCACCTGCTGGTGGGTCAAATGAAATGACCAGGCAGGCCAGATTGTCAGGGCCAGAGATACAGATGTTCTAACAAGTTTATGAGGAAATAGACTACTCCCAAACCCTGTCTTGGGAAATGGTGTGTTTTTTACCTTCTACATCAAAGAACTGCTGTGTGGGAGTGGGAGGATTGAAATGTCCAAATCCCCAGCTAAGGAAGACTTCTCATTTGATGAGAGAACAGGGACTTTGGTGTAACTGGCCCTCTTGTTCTCTCCTTTCTTTTTCCTTCTGTTGTTTTCTGTCTGCAGTCTACTTCTGTACTTGAATGTGGTTCCCACAGTCTGCAGCCTACCCACTGTGATCACCCTGTTTTTCCACTGCCCAAGGTCCCTCCCTCCACTTGGCTTTTACATCATTAATTCTTTTTATTGGCTTTGTTTGTCTTCTGTATGAGGTTCTGATGCATTTCTTGTAGACCTGGACTAACCCCTTGAATAGCTGCTGCAGCACGAGGGAAGGCAGTTCCATTTGTGGAGGAGGGAAAGGGAATATTGCTCCCCCCAGCTTCTGTTGCAATGGTAATTGGAGTTGAAACACACCTTCAGTGTGAACTTTCCTCACAGCAATGTCTTGAGGGTTGGGTGCTGGCAGTGTAAGCTTCCTTAAGCAGTGCCCTGGCAGTCATGAGCCCCAGGGACTGAAGGAGGACTCCCATTTTGGCTCTTCAGCATTGTTTCATCTGATAGGAGCCCATGGTAATATGTTTGTGGTTTTCCCTTTAACCTCTGAAATCTGGTTAACAGTGGTTGCTTAGTCTTCCACTCCTCCAAAGCAGTAAGCTATGGGCATCTTGCTTTTCTGCAACATGGGGAATGACATGCAGGGACACCTAGCAGTGTGAGTATTTGGACTTGTGTTCTTGTCAGCTGTATAGACTTAAGTGAGCATGTGAACCTGGAACTATCTACTAGCATGCAGCTTATGCTGGGGGTATAGTGGGGCAAGGTGGGGGGTGGAGCAGGAGTAGGGGTCCTGATCCTTTTTGGCTTCCTAAGGCTGCATGCTTACGATGTGCTGTGGTAAGGGCAGGTCAGCGGTGCCCCAGGTGGGATTCTTAGTTTACTTTGGTAATTGGAACAAACTTACCCTGTGTGTTTTCTGGACCAGTCTCTGGTTATTACTGTTTTTCTCTAAAGCCCCTTATTCTCTGCAGGAGTTGGAGAAATTCAGAGCAGAGTTTCAAGAGCAGCTTCCAAGTGCAGCTCTGCTCTGAAAAAATTGGCATCAGATTCTCACATCCAACAGCTCCTGGTTCTGTGTGAAATCTGCCCCCATTAACAAGCTTAAATCTTTCTATGTGCCAGGGCTGAAAACTGCCCCAGATTTATGAGGCTAACAGTGGGCACTTGCCAGTGTTCCTGAGCTTGGGTCCCAGTTACAGGAGGGAGATCCTTACTTTACCTATACAAGACCATACCTTAGTCTAAGTCCCACTTAGGTAGGGCTGTGTTTCCCAAGGCTGCTCTAAGTCCTTCAAGAGCAGCTGTGGGCTCAGTGGACAAAGCGAGTTTTTACAGTAAGTCTCTACTAAGGTTTGTTTGTTCTGTGGGTGACTTGTTACTTCCAGAGGACAAAAGGGTGGATAGGGTAGGGAAAAGAGTGAAGATGTATTTTAGGTTGAAGGTAAACCCCTCCAGTTCAGGGAGCTCTAGTTGTTCAGCATAATGCTCCGAGGGTTACGTACCACGGCCAGGAGGGCTACTGGGGAAGCGGGGTTTAATTGGTGGTGCTTGCCTATGGGAGTGAGATTGAGGAAACTGATAAGAAGAATGAAAGCTCCTTGCTGTTTTAGGGCATGCTGGGAAGGGTCTCCTACCCCACC